TATATTAGTTTTGTAAGATGTTCTTAAGAAATTCAATAATGTGTAAGTGTAATTTTTAATGATAATATCTTACAAAACTATAATGAAATATATTATTCTATTTAAAAAGATAAAACATTTAAAAAAGTAAATTAGAACACTTTTCTTTAAGTCACATAGATCTCGATAACTTAGGTATTTAAAAAAGATATCAAAGTATATACATTTAAACCAAACATATTATAAATCCAATATTCAATATATATTATTCAATATATATAAGAAAAATTTGTAAAGGAAATATTAAATATTAAATAACATACAAAATCTGACTGTTTATTGTTGTCCATTGATTTTGATATATGACGTTTTTTAGGTGTTAGTGGTGGCATCACTACATATATATCTGTTTCAAAATATTGTTTTTTTTGCAAATATTTTGACATGGCGCTTGGTGTCTTTTTATTTTCCTCACTTGAAGTATATTTAATCTATTAAAATATTAAGATACATTAAATGTCAAAGAGAACATATAAATTAGAAAAATACATATAAATTTATAAATTTTTTCTACAATCAAATTATTAATAAAATTTTACTTCAATAGGAGTTCTTCTAATTCCTGCTGAAACTGAACGTGGATCACCTAGCACTCTTTTTTCAGATAATATTGGTGTACATATGTTATTATCTTCCATAGTTGTTTGTTGCACAACCATTTGATGTTCATTACATTCTTTTTGACTTTCGTTAGCGTAAAATAACAATTTATTTGCATAATTGCCCATGATATTAATGATCACAACTAATTATTATAAAAAGCTCCTGCAAATGAAAATTAAGCATAAATGTAAAATTTCAAGTTAATATATATAATATTTCATAAAGAGGTCATATAATTTTATTAACAAAAAGATTTAAGAGTATTCAATAAACTATAGACATAACATACAATTTCAAGTTATTTAGTCAATAATTATACAGAAACATATGTTAACTTAATTTACACTGAGCATTTTATATGTATTAATTAGTAATTCTATTAAATTATCTTAATTTCAACAATGTATTTAAAGAATGATATAATATTAAATTGATATGTATGCACCAAAATAATTAATTAAATACATGTATTTACACATATTATCAAAATTAAGACAATTCAATAGAAAATTATTAGTTAGTACCCACATCAAATGAAACTAAACTTAGATTAACACGTAGAAACAATTTCTATCCTCGTTCTCAAAAATTGAATTTATTACATTGATTCTGTTAATAATTATTTTTCCTTATGTGTTATATATTTATTATTTAATAAATAAATAATATAGGGCAATAATTATTTCAAATAAGCAGCAATACTTACGTAAATCACAGAACTCTCAAAATGTTAGACAATGTTAGATACACACAAGACGATCATACGTTATCAGAGTAGCGGATTTTAAATCGTTTACTTTCAAAATCAAAACTGACAAACGTTCAAATAGTACCAATTTATAAAACCAAAGATCGGAAATTCCCATATTTTTAAGCCCGGATCTACAACAGATTTTTAAACCTTAAGCCATAAGAAATGGACGAATCGCAATCGATTATTCTCCTCACATTCGATTGTAATAGTCAATTTCTTACAGCTTAAGGCTTAAGGCCTAGCCGCACCATGTTACTTTAATTTTAAACAAGTTTAAAATTCTCTTTTGGTTTTAAAACAAAATAGAGAGAGTTTCAAGTTTCACTTAAAATCAAAGCAATCGATGCCAAGTCTAAAACTATTGTAGATCCAGAACTAAAAGGCGTTACAAACAACCATTACCAGTCTAAACGTTTATTGCGACAACTAATCAGAAGCATAAATAATACCATTAACGCTTCTAATTAATTGTTACGTTTTAACTGGCAATGAGTATTTGCAACGCGTTGTAGAATGCCCTTAAAGCTCCAGAAATAACACGATTTCAACCTATCAGAAACTATATATTCCAGTGTATCTGATTTCTGATAGGTTGAAATCGTGTTTCTATTCGCTATCGCTATTCCTTCGCATTGTGTCTGAGGTTTAACTGCCATTAATTATAATTAGAAGTTTGTTCGCGTCGCATGCTCCAAATTAACCCAAGCACTTGGATCACAGGTAAGATGGCGGTTGAAGCAGTTGTATTCATGTGCTCCAATGTTCAATGACATGAACAGATTATCTAACCTAACCTAACCTAACCTAATCTGAGAGAGCATTCGAATGGATCAAATATGTGCCTCGTTTCGAGTATTTTATATTACTTCGATTATTTGAAAAACGTTTTTATACAAAATAAATGCGTTTTTAATAAATATAAAAGTTATAAATTAAAATGTCAAGGCTTTTTTAAAAAACGAACAAATGTAGTTAATTAATAAAATTCGTATTTTATTACATTCATATAACGCTATAAATTTCAAATGTTTCGACTTATAAAGTCTTCATCAGTAATAATAAAGAAAACGTATTTATGTAACTCCATCCAATATCAATGAACTAACATATGATACATAATAAAAATTATCGCTCTAGGCTAATCTTATTTAATTATTCCTGCGTTAAGATATTGCGGATTAATTATTCTATATAAATTAATGTAAGTGAAAAATAAATTCTCATCAATATTGATTTAAATATAATAAGTTTTTAATCAGAAATTGACTTTATTGATTTAATTGTACAGAATGTATTAACAGAATATAGTAGGATAGTTGAAGAAATTCTCGTTCGGAATGATATTTTATATGAAATTGTTAACTGAGCTGATTCTCGATAACAATCGAAGAAATAATTAAACACAATTTTACAATTATGGATTTAATTATTCTTTCAAACTTATGATTTGATACTTATTTTGATCTGATAATATTTTAACGCAGGAATAACTAAATAAGATTAGTCTAGAACAATAATTTTTATTACGTATCATATATTAGTTCGTTGACATTGGATGGGGTTAATAAATATGTTTTCTTTATTATCACTGATGAAGACTTTGTAAATCGAAACATTTGAAATTTATAGCGTTATATGAATGTAATAAAAGATGAATTTTATTAGTTAACTACA